AGTGAGACACGGAGCGGTAGGACATAGAAATTCAGGTTGCTGGGGGGGGCCCAGGCAAGGGCGTAGTAGAAGGGTCGCAACCTTCCCCCTTGCGGGTTGCCGTCAGCATGGAGGCAGAGTTTGCGGCGGTGAAAATACTGCTTCTCGGTATCCTCATCAAACGAGGTGAAGCAGCCAGGGAAAAGAACCTGGATAAGCTCATTATATGGGCGAAAATCGTGGGCATTTTGCAGTGCCCTCACTGCTTTTTGCAGTGGAAGAATGGATGGATGTCGGGAATCTGATGTGGGATACGGCCATCACAGGAAAGAGTAAAGACGTAGTAGCCCTCAGTTCAGTTTGGAAACTTGTGTTAAATGCCCTACGGGATATGAAGGCAGGGTCCTCAGTAGCAGCAGCTGCCATAGACACTATGGCGCCGTCCGAGACTGACGCGCCGCAGCCACCCCCTGCCGAGTCCTCTAGCCGTTTGAGTGCATTTTTCAGGGTTGGGCATGTCCGGCCAGCGAAGGGGCTTACCGGGAAGCAGTGTAGCACCGTGTCAGAACTTTTAAAATCCCAGGGGTGCGCCGATGCAGCTCCGGCTGCGCTGGCGGAGCACTCCGCGGCTCCGGCCGCACCGGCGGAACCCTCCGTGGCTCCGGCCACGCCGGCAGAGCCTAAGCCGGAAGTTACCCTGCCGAATGCGGATGCAGAAATGACGGCTCCCCCAGACGGAGCGGGCTCCAGCTCCAGCCAGGTGGAGCCTGATACATCAGCAGAAACGAGAGCCACAAAGTGCAAACCAAAGATCTACCCTTCGATGCCATCTACCGTTCACTGGGGAAGACCGCAGGACATCCCTCTCCCCTCCGATGATGACATTTCTATGCACTCCGATGACGGACGGCTTGCAGCAGGAGCAGAACCAATTGATGACAATGCAACAGCAAAGAAGGAGCTACTGGGGTGGCAACATCAAATAGAGCAGCTCGTGCAGCAGCTCCAAGCTCGGATTGAACAAACCCTATGTGCGAATAAAGCACAGCCTCAACAAGAGAAAGCAGCCCTGCAGCAAACACCGAGACAACGAGCAGAGTCAGTTCAACAACTACAGGATATGCTGCGTCCTGAACCATCTGCTCCACCTTTGGAAACACTGTCAACACCACAACCTTGTTCTAGCTCTATCACCCTGGAGGAAGAGAACAGAAAACACAGAGCACAGCAGAGGTGGTCCGGCATCATTCGAGATGCAATTCTGGAGGGAGAATGGCAAGCATCAGGGGCAGTTGCTTGTCCCATTTTATAAGATCAGCAAAATCCACGTTATGAACAGCATGACTGGAAGATCTTGCAGCAAGCCAAAAAGACAGTTACTGAGAATGGCATTAAATCTGAAGCTGCAAACACTGCATTGGACTGGCTGTTCACCTCTGATGTTAACAGTCCCATAGACAGACAAAATCTCGCACGTCTGCTTTTAACTCCATCACAGCTTATGGTGTGGGAGAAGGAATGGAAAAGGCTAGCAGTTCTAGAAGCCAATCAACCTCGAGATCGAAATGATGTGTTATATGGACTTAATCCTGACATCCTCACCGGTTCAGGAGTTTACAGTCATATGGCTGTACAGTTAAACTACCCTCTTGCAATGCATCATTTGTCTGCACAGCTCGCTCGTCAAGCCTTTAATGCTGTGCCTGATTCAAAACCTCATCCTTCCTTCACAACAATACGGCAAGGCCTCACGGAACGGTATCCTCATTTCATCGATCGTCTGTCAGCAGCCCTTAAAGCTCAGAATGACATGACTGAAGAGGCAAAACAGAACATGTTCAAACTGTTAGCTTTTGAGAATGCCAACTCGAAGATGAAGCCTATTCTTGCCACACTCCTAAAGCAAGCAGACGTGGGAGACATGCTAGATATTGCCCTGCAAGTAAATCAAACGCAACAAGGACAGCTAGTAGCCAATGCTGTTGCAGAAGCCATCAAGCCAACCACAAGTCTGATTGCTGCTGCCATCAGCAAGCTGGGAAGTGGATGCAAACCCTCCCCCACACCTCCAGGCATCTGTTTTCGATGTGGCGACAAGAGGGCACTTTTGAAAATTCTGCCCAGCTACTGTGTGGTGTGATCACTGCCAGACAGGCAGACATGCTACTTCTGTATGTCGTTTTGCAAAAAACATGATCAAGAACGCGAGGAGCAGCTGCGCGGGGACACAAGTTGCCGGCCCAACTCTATTCAGCAGCTCAACCCACCAGCAACACGGGGAAGCCTGGGAATCGATTTGGCAGCATCAGTAGATGTCACACTCATCGACAGCAATGTCCGCAAAATCCCAACTGGAGTTACAGGACCTGTTTATTCTGCTACCAGTGCACTTGGTGCTTTGTTGATTGGGAGATCATCTGCTGGAATTGCAGGACTTATTGTTCTCCCAGGAGTCATCGATGCCGATTACATTGGTGAAATCCAAGTGTGTGCCTACACTCTAGCTCCTCCACTTACAATCAAAAAGGGAACAAGAATTGCTCAATTGGTGTTGCTTCAAAAGGTGGCAACTGAGAAAGA